CAAGGGACCAGCACAAGAAATTCAGTTCTTGGGAATAAAATGGCAAGATGGACGCCGTCATGTGCCACTAGATGTTGTCAACAAGACAGCCGACCAACAAGAAGGAAACACAAGCTTTCCTAGGACTTGTGGGATTTTGGAGGATGCATATTCCAGGTTACAGTCAGCTTGTGAGCCCTCTCTATCAAGTGACCCGAAAGAAGAACAATTTTCAATGGGGTCCTGAGCAGCAACAAGCCTTTGAGCACATCAAACAGGAGATAGCTCGGGCGGTAGCTCTTGGTCCTGTTTGGACAGGGCCAGCTGTGCAAAATATACTTTACACATCAAATGGGGAGCACGGACTCACATGGAGCCTCTGGCAGAAGATACCAGGTGAAACTCGAGGTCGACCACTGGGATTTTGGAGCCGGGGATATTGAGGATCAGAAGCCCACAACACTCCAACTGAAAAGTAGATACTGGCAGCATATGAGGGGATTCGAGCTGCTTCAGAATTTGTTGATACAGAAGCACAGCTCCTCTTGGCACCACAGTTGCCTGTATTACATTGGATGTTCAAAGAAAACATCCCTTCCACACACCATGCAACCAGTGCTACCTGGAGTAAATGGGTAGCGTTAATCACGCAATGGGCTCGAGTGGGGAAGCCCAACCATCCAGGGACCCTGGAAGAGATCATGGACTGGCCAGAAAGTAGAGATTTTGGAGCGTTGCCTGAGGAGGTGGCTCGTGCCCAAGAGGCACCACCATATAACGAGTTACCAGAATATGAGAGGCGTTATGCTCTCTTTACTGATGGATCCTGTCATGTGGTAGGAAACCATCGGAAGTGGAAAGCTGCTGTGTGGAGTCCCACAAGACAAGTCATTGAGGCCACTGAAGGAGAAGGTGAGTCAAGTCAGTTTGCAGAAGTAAAAGCAATCCAATTAGCCGTTATGTTTGCTGAACGGGAGAAGTGCCCAGTACTATATCTCTACATGGACTCCTGGATGGTGGCTAACGCCCTGTGGGGGTGGCTACAGGAGTGGAAGAAGACTAATTGGCAGCGCAGAGGTAAACCCATCTGGGCTGCTGCATTGTGGCAGGACATCGCTGCCCAAGTGGAAAACGTGTCTCTAAAGGTACGTCATGTAGATGCTCATGTGCCCAAAAGGCGTGCCACTGAAGAACATCAAAACAATGAGCAAGCAGACAAAGCTGCCAAAATTGAAGTAGCTCCGCTGGACCTGGACTGGGAGCGTAAGGGTGAGCTGTTTGTAGCTCGATGGGCCCATGAAACATCAGGGCATCTTGGCAGAGATGCAACGTACAGATGGGCTTGTGATCGAGGGGTGGACCTGACCATGGAGTCACTCATGGGATGGTCTTTGCTCAGGGACCTGGATGTACTTGGTGGGTAATGCGGGAGGATGGGACTACTCAGTGTGTAACTCAAGAACATTTAACCTTGGTGGGAAAGTAATCTGTGGGATGAGTTGTATGTTGCAGGAAGTGATGGAGGAAGTAGGAATGACGAAGAGTGAACCAGATACATGCAATATGACCCAAACCTAGCCGGTGCTGGAGTCCAACAGTCAAGCATACTTCTGTCCTGAACATCTATCTTGACAGATGGAAGCCAAGTCACTGAACATCTGAAGGAGTGAAGAAAGCTTATGTAAAAAATTATTTTTTACAATCTACACAGGGAAAAGATAAAACCAGTGCTGAAAACCTACCACAGACCAAGAGATGATTTTATCTTTGTAGTTTTAGGTACCATAGCTAGAGTAGATGAGGGAGAAACTCTTTAGGCTAACACCAGACCTAACACAAACCAGCAGCTGTAGTGAATCCAAGACAGTAACCAGAAACTTCCAAAACAAGAAATTCTACTCTGGAGCAATTTTAGATGAAAAAAGTTCCAAGCTAAAAGAAAATCTGTTAAGAAAAAAATTATACATATTCATACTTCTGTACAGTTCAGTTGGTCACAGCAGGTGCAGTACCAAGTGCATTCATGGACATTAGGATTTTGAAAAGAATAGAAGGATTAAAATCCAGCGTCTGCTTCCTCACTTGCTTATCCCATATCAGTCCAAATTAACTTGCAGAAAAAGGCCTCTGAGCCTTTTGCAAAAAAGCTAGAAAAATTAAAAGGCTAAATATAGAAAGCCTAAATTCTGGCTTCTGTAAAATTCAGTCTCTTAAAAGGCAGGCACTATAAAATACGAAAAGTTTATACTTACTCTTAAAGCCTAAAAGATTTCTGACAGATCAAAAATAATAAAATGAATATACAGTAAAATACAATCTAATCACAAGAACTCCAGCCTCTACACAACTTGTAGGTTTTCTCACACTTTTCTAAAATTGGTTTATTATTGTTATATTTTCTTTTCCTTTTGCAAGTCTTATACTGAAGGTCCTTTGATATGGTTTTATCTTAAGACAAATAGCTTTTTACATAAACTTACTAAATTTAGACTTCATTCTTCTAAGACATTATTAATTCCCTATAAAACTAAGTGGTCAATGGAAAAGTTACACATGAAATCAATGAAAATTACTCTTCCCCATTAAAATAATTTACAATTACTTAAAAAATATATAAACAACAGTTTTGTTGTAAATGAGATTTCTAAACAAAGTAGCATATCTTCTACCTTGTAATTTACAGTAATTCCTTTCACCAATAAAACTATAAAGAATTACACAGATTTAGAACATACAAATCAACCTCTAAGTGAAAGAATAGAGCCTTATTTATTGGCAAAATTGCAATTTACTGTCCAGAAATCCCTGGAAGCTTTTGCTAGCTTTACAGATTTTAGCCATGTTGCATTTGCTCTGCCATCTCTACACTTGCATTTACTCTACACTGCCATCAGACTTGTCATCCTGATGACTTGAATCTTGACAAATATAAGTAAGCAATGAAGAAAGGAGTTTTAATAATTTGAAAAATCACACTGTTTGCCTTAATTAGCAGGTATAATTGTACTTGTTGCAGTGATGTTGAACAACCTGACTGATTAGTGACTATGCTTGTGATAAGAAGATAACAACAGTGCAGGAAGAGCAGTAATATGAAGTTATAAAACATAACATTTATAATCTTACTTAACATATTGGTTACTTGCTCTTTCAGGCCAGTTACATGTTTAAATGGGGAATATTTGCAAGACTAAAAATATTAAACTATTTTAATTCTGGTAATATTTAAACAGTTAAATGAAATTAATTTAACAGCAACCAGAGTCTTGTCCAAAGAAATATTGAGAATTTTTAAATTCAATATAGAAAAGAATTTTATGAAGGGGCCAAATTTTGTTTAATAAATCAAGGCAAGCTAAAACAATTTATGTTCCACTTCTTCCTCTGAAAAGAAAAGTTCTGTTATGGAAGATTTTGTTCTTCTAATATGTAAATGCTCCCCAAAACAGAAACTAAACATGTGCTTAAAGATTTTATTGCTATAAAAAGTTTTTTTGTCAGAAGATGATGCTGATGGCTTCTGCAGTTCAGAATTTCAGTAGTTAGTTACAAACATTAAAAAAAATCAATGCCAATTAAGATAATTTCAGGGTGTTTTTTTTCTGTAACTCAAAACTGCATAATTTGAAATCCATTTATTATTTAGTACTCCACCAACAAATTCCCCCAAAATATGTATCTACTAAAGTAGTCAAGGGAATGATTTCTGTTGTTAGAACTTACGCCATATGGTGTGCCAACCAAGACATTTATTCAGTTCATTGACACTCCCTCCTCTGGATCATTTAAAACAGAACAGAAATTTCTTTCCCCCCTGCCTCTACACACCACATGATGAATTGAACTGGTTTTGCAAAAATACAAACTACATTACTCTTCAGAGCATTTAATTTCAGTGTTGCAAGTATGTTTAATTTAATAAAATGACTTATTATTTACACTTATGTCACACACATGCGAACATCTCACCTGTTTTTGCCCTTGTGCCAATAACCTGACAAGCTCTCATTTAGCTGACTAGAATAACATAACATTGGAAAGTCCTCATCTTTGCTTTACAGTTAAATACAAACCCAGAATTCTGGTGATTTGAATACTCTAGCAGAATCTCACATAAGTGGAGACAAGACACGTTAATATTTTGAACTGAAATAAAAATTAAATAGATGATGAAATATGTACATTTGTGTACAACAGTACTTGAAAACATCAAGCTGGCTGGTTGCAATGTAACAGCAAGCATGTGATGCTACAGCTTATGCATATAGATGACTTTCATGCATACATACCAGTTTCTTTTATGAGATACTCATCACATGCTGCATTATCTGGCTTTCCACATTAGCAAGACTAAGCACAATCAATATCACATAGAACAAAATGTAAGTAAAACAAACACAGTGCTTCTGTGGTTTATGCTGTCATAGAAACCTGAAGGGAATGAATTATACTCCTAGTATAATGAAACAGCTTGTCCAAGAATATTTGGATAGCTAAGTCTAATTTGAAATAAATATGCAGAAAAATTTGCTTCAGAAGAATTTTTTGAGGATTAGCTACCACTCCTTCTGGAGGAAAGACATCCAATAGAATTACAGCAATAAATTTTATAAAATTCTGTACCTGACAAACGAAGTTGATCAGTAAACTCATAAACTGCATTGATTATCCCAGTGACCATCTTGTAGTGGTTACCTCTACTAAGAAAATTCTTCACTTCCCATGACTGTGTTTACCATGTTTTAGCAAAATTGATATAAAAACATTAAGTAAAAGTTTTGAGACTAGAAAAAATACTTTACATTCCAAAAAAGTACTGCTATTGTGCCATTGGTATACATTCTTTTTTCACATATAGAGGGGGAAACAACCCCACTGAAATACTTCTAAAATAGGAGAATATTTCCATCATTAGGAAAACTGTCACATAAAGTACTTCCAAGCATCAACTGATATTCCCTTCAGATTTTGCTAATGCGGATCACAGATCTTACACTGCATAAAATTAACCCCTAACCCACCTCCTGTATGTTCTTTTTCACAGCTTCCCTCACCATGTTTAGGCCGTTGTAAAGAGAAATGTCTGTTCTCTGGTGGCCTCAGGGTAGACTCTAGTCTGTGAAATCTGTGAATTCTGTCTCTGACAAGAATAGTATTGTCCCTTTCATCACGATTTGTGATCTCTCTGGCAAGATCCTTCTTTTGGACTACATTAGCAATCTCAGCTACAAGATAGGATTCTGACTTTTCTGTAGGGTTATGCTTATGCACATGCAAAACATCTTCCCTTTCTCCTAGCAGCTTGGAAAGGAGCGAATAGAAATCACCTGCACAGAAAAGAGAAAAGATAAGAGGAAAGGAGGGAAAAAACAATTATAACAGATTGTGTAGTTTTAGAAACTTCAGCAAAGTATAACATAACAAAGTTATTCAAATGGTCATTGTCAAAAGTAGTATAAGAGGGAACTGGGAATTGAATGAGCCAAGACTCTGGTATGAAAAGATAATGGTAAATCTTTATCAACTTTAATTTACATATAAATGTCCACTTTTACCTGACACTCTGGCATCAAATAATTATCACCTCTACACAGAGGTTCTTGGGAACAAGAAAAAGAGAAAAAGGAAAGGGGGGAAGGGGC